AACTTTTCTGGAAAGTCGATTTAGAGCATTAGAGTGTATAGAGCCTAAAAAAGGGGTTAATTCACAACAATGTACATACTTCACATACTACAAAAGCATTGGTTGCATTTAAACAGCGTAATTTCGTGGGTGGTAAAGCTTGTTGTGAATACTGTTCAGAAGTTCACAAATTATGTTTTTGTAAAAAAATTCCTACAGCTTCCTTATGAGAAAAGATACAATTTCGTTTTAAGTAACAATATTTGCTTTAATTGTTTAGGCGGAAACCATTCAATTAAACAGTGCCAAAAACCACCTAATTGTAGAGTTTGTAAGAAACGACACCATTCATTATTGCATCCCACTAGCGGTAAGACTACTAATCGTGGTGACCAGGACAATAGAGCAAGTACATCCGTTGAAAGTTCGGATGTCGATTGTGATAAAAACCCCATAGTTAGTTGTCTTTCGTCTGGAAACGGCATGGAGTCCAGACAAGTTTTATTAGCCACCGCGCTAATTAGAGCCAAGTCCATCTCAGGAAACTATCAAGTGGTGCGGGCCTTGATTGATCAAGGTTCCCAAGCTTCATTTATAACCGAAGCTACAGTTCAGTACTTACGATTAAAACGTACTCCAGTAAAAAGCACGGTAACCGGATTAGGTGCCGACAGAGACATAGTCTCGAAGTATATAGTAACACTCGATCTGAAATCGTGTATAGATCCTAACCTCAAACTATCGGTTACAGCTTATGTTCTAAAGATTATAACGTCTTATCTACCAGATACAAAGATAGAGTTATCGAATTGGATGGATTTGAAAGACTTAAAACTGGCTGATCCAGACTTTAGCACTCCCAATAAAATTAACTTATTATTGGGAGCTGATGTCTATGGTCAAATATTAAAGAGCGGTGTAAAAAAGGATCCAACGGGATATCTTATCGCACAGTGCACAACTCTTTCTCTTGGTTGGATTCTTTCTGGTATTGTAGATAGAACAAGATTAAATAGTAGTACACAAAAAATATCAGTAATGCACGCAGAAGTAAATCAGAACGATATACTCAAGAAATTTTGGGAGTTAGAAGAACAATTTACACCAAGTAAGAAAATATTGTCAGACGAAGAACAACAGTGCGAAGATCTTTTCGCAGCCACAACCACTCGAACATCGGATGGAAGATATGTGGTTAAACTGCCATTCAAAGATAAAGAGCCGGGATGCAAAGGTGGCAACTCGCGTAATATCGCTGTAAAACGATTAAAGATTATGGAAAGAAAATTAGAGAAGGATAAGGAACTAAAAGAAAAATACACAGAAGTTTTAAATGAATATTTATATCTAAATCACATGAGACCGGTAAGCGAAGAGCAAAGGAAAGAAAATGAAACTGTGTACTTACCCCATCACGCTGTAGTAAGAGAGGACAAACTCACAACCAAAGTTCGGATAGTGTTCGATGCGTCCTGCAAAAACGAGAACGGTGTTTCTTTGAACGATACGCTTATGGTAGGACCACCTTTACAATCCGACTTGCGCCATATTATACTACGTTGGAGAATATATCCCATTGGCCTCGTAGCTGACATTATAAAAATGTATCGTCAGGTAAGGGTGACTGAAAACGATGCAAAATTCCAAAGGATAGTCTGGAGAGAAGGCTCGGACAAGCTGATACAGGATTATGAATTAACAACCGTTACGTTCGGGACTGCATCAGCACCCTACTTGGCTGTAAAGACGCTGAATCAAGTCGCTATCGATGAAGCAGAAACTTATCCCCTAGCAGCGTATAGAGTTCGGGAATCTTTCTATATGGATGACCTAATGACTGGGTGCTCTACAGCCGAAGAAGGTAAAGAATTATATAGACAGATGAAGAATCTATTAAAGAAGGGAGGGTTTGAACTACAGAAGTGGAATAGTAATAGTCAAGAATTACTAAGAGCAATAAATAAGCAGGAAGCGGAAGAAACTAAGCGCGATAGAGCAAGGAATAAGAACGTACCTGAAAAGTTTGTAGAAAACAGTCTGGAAAATAAAATCTATGAAGAAAGGAACATTCAACTAGATATAACTAAAATTCTAGGACTTACTTGGAACCGTAGTGATGACGTCTTTAAATATTCAGTACAGCTCGCTCCAACACCTGGACCTGAAACTAAAAGGAACATAATATCAGAAATTGCTCGCCTATTTGACCCTCTGGGTTGGCTAGCACCTACCGTTATAATAGCAAAAGTATTTATACAAAGGCTATGGCTTTCAGGTGTAGGATGGGATGAAAAGGTTCCTGAAGATTTATTAAATGAATGGAGGACTTACCGTAGTGAGTTGTCCAAACTTACCGAAGTTCGTATTCCAAGATGGCTTCAAATCAAGCAAACTGATCGAAGTGTTGAACTTCATGGATTCAGTGATGCTTCAGCAACCGCATACTCGGCTGTGGTGTATATAAGATCAGTCGATGCAGAAAGCGATATTCACGTTGCTCTTTTGATGGCGAAGACCAAAGTAGCTCCAATAAAACAGGTAAGCATTCCTCGGTTAGAGTTATGTGGAGCTATGTTGTTGACTCGTTTATTGGCAGAAGTAGCAGAAGCCATGCATATTTCCAGAGAGAACATTAGAGCGTGGACAGATTCAACCGTAGTGCTTGCTTGGTTAAACAGTCACCCAAGTAGGTGGAAAACTTTTGTGGGCAATCGAGTGTCTGAAATTCTTAGTACTCTGGATGCATCACAATGGGCTCACGTTTCAACGAAACACAATCCAGCTGATTGTGCATCGAGAGGTATTAGGCCAAGTGCGCTGGCTGAAAGCCAATTATGGTTTTCAGGACCAAGTTTTCTTATGGATCAGCAAATTAGATATCACAGACCAAGGGACATGGACACTAATATAGAAAAGCGCATAAAGGTACATATTAGTGCTGTGCCACAAGTATTTCCGTGGCAGAAATTTTCTTCGTTGAATAAATTGATAAGAGTTATTGCATATTGCCGAAGATTTTTATCAATAAAGGAAAAGAAGCAAAAATATTTACAAAAGAAGGAATTAGATGAAGCGTTAATATGTTGCATAAAGCATTTTCAACTGGAAGACTTTTCAGAAGATTATTTACAGTTGACAGAAAAGGGTTGCATAAAGAAAAAAAGTAGTAAAATTAGAACACTATGTCCGTATATAGATAATATGGGTATAATAAGAGCAGGTGGGAGATTAAACGAATCGTCACTAACGGAACAAATCAAACACCCTACACTGTTGTCTCAGTCTTGTTACCTAAGTAAATTACTTGTTTCTAATGCTCATGAAATAACCTTGCATGGCGGCCCACAATTAATGATAAATTACCTAAGATCAAACTATTGGATTATAGGCGTGAAAAACCTAGCTAAGCAACATGTGCGAAAATACGTGATATGCATCAACCATGCTGCCAAAGTAAGACACCAATTCATTGGATCTCTTCCAGCTGTCAGATGTACTCCTGCACGACCTTTTTTACACAGCGGAGTGGATTATGCTGGTCCAATAAATATAAGAACATCAAAGGGTCGTGGTTACCACGCTTATAAAGGTTATATTTGTGTATTTGTCTGTATGGTGACGCGCGCTATACATTTAGAAGCTGTCAGTGATTTGAGCACACAAGGCTTTTTAGCAGCTTTCAGACGATTCGTTTCGAGACGTGGCCATTGTTCTCAAATTTGGAGCGACAATGGCACCAATTTTGTAGGAGCTGCTCGAGAGTTGAATAAACTTAAGTCGATTCAGCAATCGGTTGCTGAACGGGTTGAAGCCGAGGGTACCCAATGGCACTTTATACCACCGCATGCACCACATTTCGGAGGTTTGTGGGAAGTTGCGGTCAAATCTACTAAGCACCACTTGAAAAGGGTGATTGGAGATTCAACCTTAACCTTTGAGGAGCTTAGCACGCTGCTCTATCAGATAGAGGCTTGTCTGAACTTCAGACCAATGACTGTGATCAATGATAATGATTTATCCGATCCTATGCCTCTAACACCTGGTCACTTCTTAATAGGCGAACCACTAATAAGTATTCCAGACGATAATTACGAACATACAAATATAAGTTCACTAACTCGGTGGCAACTTGTACAAAAAATGACGCAGAATTTCTGGCGTCGGTGGTCACAGGAATATTTGTCAAACTTGTTGCATAGATATAAATGGACTTACCAAGTACCAGAACCTAATATCGGGGATGTAGTGTTAGTTAAGGAAAACGATTTACCACCATGTCATTGGTTACTTGGTCGGATTATCGAAAAACATCCTGGTCCTGATCAAATAACCCGAGTAGTTACGTTACGAACCAAATCGTCAACAGTTAAAAGACCTACCTCTAAGATTTGTATATTACCTGTTAGTACTTAGTGTAAGTTAAGCCAAATTGTTATTGTTTTATTTTATTATATATTTATTATATATGTTATTCCTAAGATTTAATTGTTGCATTTATTATTTCAGTACAAAATTGTAAATCACACTCATTAAGGACAATAAAGGAGCGAGTTCACGGTGGGCGGTTTCTCATAATTAAGGACAATTATATTTTCAATATTGTCCTTGGTGGGCGGTATGTTAAAGTATAGTAGTTCACCTTTTTAATACTTGATGGCGCTGTACAAAAATTATATTGCGATGTCGACGTGCAATGCTACTAGACCATAAGGCCACAATATTATCATTTATTTGTGTGTATTAAACTTCATGTTATTATACCATAGTACATACGTTGTGGAGTGTTTTATTAAATCATCCCATCGTAAGCCATTTTGGCAAGTAGTACAGTGCTAGTCCAAACACCTATGTCCCCCAATCAATTCGGATAAACGACGCTCTACTGTCTATAACGATAAAAATTGATATTTTTGGCACAAGAAATCGATTCTTCGATTAATCGATCTCAGATCGACATGCCTACCTTAAAGTGCATTAAAACAGAAAGAACATGAACAGAGTATAACAGAGCAAATGAACACCTGTGTATCCTGGAGCGCAGATGCAGGTGGCGCCGAGCCGCAGCGAGCGGCACGTGCCGCCGTGCGCACAGCTCGTGTGCTGGCACGCGTCGCCGGCCAGCTCGCAGCGCGCGCCCGAGTAGCCCGCCTGGCACCGGCACTGCACGCACACACACCGTATATATCTTTCCAAATATTTGTGACATTGTGGAGCTCGTTTGCACACATTATAACAGGTCACTTACGTCCCACTGCTGGATACATGCTTTCTATCTACATCGGCCCGGGGAGCAAAGATGTATGGGCATACTATTATTTTTTCTGTGGTATAGGGTCTGTGGGGTATGTGATATAGTTCAAGTTTTAACGTTAAAATGTGATTTTAATTTTTATAGGAGTATACTTATACTTATTATGTGTAAAATAGCATTAATACCAACAGTACTACAATAATGTTTATGTGGATTGTATATTAAATTAAAGAATATAAAATTATTATTCATTTAATAAACGTGAATTGGAATTATAAAAATTACAAAAATTCCAATTCACGTTTATTAAATGAATAATAATTTTATATTCTTTAACATAATACTACTTATTATTTCAATAACTGCTCATAAAAACCTTAAAATCAATTTATACACGATAACAATATGGATGCCTTCAAGGCAACAGTGAATACTTTTGTTAAGCTGAGAGCGGTTTTTTTACTAATGATGATTAATCTTTATCGGTAATAAATATCTTCTCACCGACGTACTTTCGCCTCATTATCAACGATATTATGTAGCAGCCTTTTCACTCAACGACACGGTACCGATGTCACGATATATCGACTTACCGATTTATTATCGTTATTTACTTCAAATTTTCGGTATATCAGTATATTATATATATACTTAGTCAGGTCATAAGTTCTGTCAAAAACTTTTTATAAAATATAATGATACACTTTTTGGTATTTATATAGAAATTATATATGAAATGAAAGTTAATTTAATTTAGAATACAGTTTTATTTACATTATTCAAAATTCTCTCCCCTATTTTGAACACATGCCCTTAATCGACGTGGCCAATCATCAATCGCAGAACGCACCACACTCATATATATTTCTGCCGCTGCTTTAGCCAAAGATGTTCGGAGAGATTCCAAATTCTGATGAGGTTTAGCGCAGATTTTCTCCTCCAAATGTTGCCATATCTTAGTGAGCTTAAATCTGGACTAGAAGAGAGTCAGTCTTCATATCCGATAAAGTCAATTCCATGGGTGGTCAACCAGTTTTGCGTGCTTCGTGTCCTATGAACTGGTGCAGTCCTGTTGGAATATTCAATGTCTGTTTTCGAACATTGTTTGAGAAAGAGGTTCCACAATGTTTGTTAGGACGATATTTTGGTACACCTCGGCACTGGTTTTTACACATTTTTGACAGAAAAATACCTCATTTAAGCCTGAATATGAGACTCCAAGCCAAACCATGAGTGACGAAGTATAATGTGCTCGTTGAACACTCGGAATACGAGTGCTGGCTTCTTCACTGCTGTGGGCATACACCTTATCATTTGTTTATTATAACTTTATTCGATGTTAAAAAAATCATCCGAAAACAAAATTTCGCGGTATTTTTTCCCGTGTACCGCCGTAACAAAGCGTGGGATCTATCCAGCCTAATTTTTTTCAAACGCTCGTTCAAAAGGTCCGGTCTTCTTACGATAAGCTCGTAATCTTAGGTCTTCATTGATCACTCTTTTGACCTTGGTTCTGTTTAGGCCTATCTGAAGAGCTTAGTTTTTTTGTTTACGAACAAGATTTCGTTGGATTCACGACTTCACTGCTTTGATGATCGCGGGTGTCCTAACTATACGAGGTCGGCCGGTCCTCTTTCGATCTTCGAAGCTTTAATCTTTAGTGAATCATTTGATAGTGCGATAAACAAATCGTAGGGTTATTTTCAATTTTTGTAGAATATGATTAAAAACTACTTTTACGGATTTTATCGCGTTTATTTTTACTTTTTATTTACTTTTATTTTTAATTCCCGACATTTCGGGCGCTTTCCAGCACCCATGGTCACGGGGGTCCCCCGTAAAAATAAACGCGATAAAATCCGTAAAAGTAGTTTTTAATCATGTATAGTGTTCGCGTAAATATAAGAAATCATTTTGTAGATTATAGAAAATCTCTTTTGGCGCGTAACCACAACGGTGCAACGCGATAACCGCTACTCTATCTTATTTCTTCGACCACTCCTAATTTGAATATATATATATATATATATATATATTCAGAACCAATCTTATCCTAGCATAGCGGGCACCGAATTTGTTTCCGCTATTGAGTTTGATTTCTTTTTAATGTTTGCTAAAAGTTGATTTTTTCGGTAATACGACACAAAAACTACCATCTTGATAATGAAATCCGTTTACGTTCCAACCTCGCATAGCTGCTGCTTTATTTTCTCCACTATCAGATACTAAAGATTTCATTGTTGTTGTTATTCCAACATGTCTAACACGGTCTATTTCTACTCTATTCATTTCAATATTTTTTTTTGAATTTGTATTTATTTTTTAGTTTTTGATTCTTTTAGAGATTACTGTATTAAGACGAAATGATATAGTGTTCACGTAGGTTTTAAGGGGGTGAAGCAGACGCAG